TGAGCGTACGTGCCTGCAGACACTTGGATGTGCACCGTGCGCAACCACCCACTCTCTCCCTTTTTCTTATCACTGGCTGTTTGATGCTCCCCACACACACATTGCCCAGTCAGCATTTGTGTACATGTGTTTGTTTGTGTGCACGGTCTGGGGTGGGTCTCTTGGTGCCTGGTGGGTGCTGTTGATGAATCTGCGTTAAGAGTTTAAGGAACTGGCAGCACACCCAGCCTTTAGCTGACTGGCGCTGGCCTCTTGAGGGCTAAGAGATGCTACACAAACATATTTATCTGCATATACACACACACACATTCCAAAGCACACATATATATACAGAGAAAGGGGGGAAGGGTGAAAGAAAGAAAGAAAGATCAGGGATCCAGGTGGTTGTCTAATCATATTCTCCCAGATGAATGTTACACAGCAGGAGAAAGAAAGGCTGCTTGGCACAACTCTGTTACCCTGAGTGTGTGTGTGTGTGTGTGTGTGTGTGTGTGTGTGTGTGTGTTGTGTGGTGTTGTGTGGTTAAAACTACACACTCTTTCACTAGTTTCCCTCTTTTTTCATCTCCAGGATCTATTTATCTCATACATACTCTCACACAAACATATGCCCAGTAGTATATCCTCTACTTTCCTTCCATACCTTCGGCTCCTCTCTGTTACTTAAAAGGAGAGATGAAGCGAAGGGAGCGAGAGCATCCTTCTTGTTCTTCTTCTGCTGCTGCCATCTGTGGCAGGTAGAGGTTGTTCACTGCTGGGCATGTGTGAAGATGTTATGTCATGAGAAAAGCTGCTGCTTGAATAGTTTGGTGAATGTTTAGTCGATGCTGATGTATAATCTCAGAGAAACAATGCACTTTCTAATACTGTCAGTCATTTCCTGTGGAGCTTAAGGCTGTGGTGGATTAAGAAAAGGGTGGCATGGGGTAAAGGTTGAGTCTTTACTTTTCATCCCCTGTGAAATATTGCTTGTTCACTCTTAGTAGTACACACATGACAAAACCTGATCATATACAGAGGCAGGAATGTGGTGCACTTTGTACGAGTGCTCAATGAGACACTTGTCAAACAAAATACATGAATAAAAATGCACCATCTTTTCTTCAGCTGTCAATACCTGCTCCTCTTCCTTTCCTTCACCTCCTCCGTCACTCACTCGTTCTCTCCTGATCTCTATGTGTTAGCACTGTATTAATGATTCATGTTTTAATTCCGCTCTGTCAAGGTCCAAGACCTGCATCAATAACTCTGTGTCCTTGCCTCCCATTGGCCTTACCAGCTCTTACACTACACCCCCTTTTTGTTATCCTCAAAGACTCAAAGACACTGTATCTTATTTAAGTCCAAGACTCAGAGAGCAGTTTTTTTCAGCACAAATTACCTTCATTTGTACTTTACCAGCCATTTATTTCTCTTTCTCTACATCCAGTGTTGGCGCTGTGGTGGGGCATTCGAGGGCCCCCCTAGCGGTAATTTGATGCCCCTCCTACTAAGCAGGTGGATTGTTGATAAATGTTTGCTGGGTCTATCTGCATTTGTGTTTTATACTTGGTTGCCTGTAAGATATATGGGCTTATATAATTTCTGTCTGGTGCGAGGCTTGTCCAATAGGCTACTTGCTGCCCGAATGCGTGCCTTAGTATGTGCTTATGTCAGCGGTCCTGTCCTGTTACTTATATGTTGTCCAGGGGTGTTTTTGATGATGTTGGAGGCTGTTGTCTAATGTTTATAACCAGTGGTAGGCCTACTTAATGGTTTTCTGGAGGTGCATAAACTGTTAAGAGGTGGATAAACTATTTCTGACATGTCAGAGGTGGGTAATCTGCATTTATTTGCGTTTAGCCTCCACGACAGCACTTGTGACAGTTTAACTGGTGGTTGAATTAACTGGTGATATTCCCGAGCATTGCTGCAGATTTGTACACTAGAAATACTGGCTGAATTGACTTCTTTTCATCATTTTAACCAACCAGAATGAAATCCTTAACACTGTAAACACTCCAGTTCTGATGTCAAATAAGATTAACGGAGTTACCTGGAGTTTGAATTAATTTTATTTGCGACGGAGATCTCCGGACGCTTGAAGAGAATGACACAGTAGGTGACTGTGTCGATGCCTGTTCCAAACACTGCAAATGTCAATAAATAATTCAGAAAATGTCCTTGCTGTCGTTTTACGAATCCTTATTAATCTGATCAAGTCTATTTGAGAACAGTTTATACTGTCACACAGTCTGTAAGGAAACATACAGTCTGCAGTATGTTTAACGCATTGTGGAGTCAGCTGTAGTGAAGCGTGATACGCACAGATCAACTGGTGATAGCCTACAACATTTTACCATCGATCATGTCGCGTCTACACTTTTATCTCACCAATCACAATGATATTATATACATAACAGCACACTCTTTCATCCAAATTAGACAACTGTCAAA